CTATATGTACTTATCATTCAATCGATAATCAAAAATGTATATATTTTTTAATAAATCGACATCTATATATATCTATATGTACTTATCATTCAATCGATAATAAAAAATGTATATATTATTAATAAAGCGACATCTATATGTACCTATATGCACTTATTGTTCAATCTATAATTAAACGATACCCGATCAATGTTTTTGTTATTATTATTATTGGAGCAGTCAATGTAGCTCCGGAAATTACATTTATCAGGAAAGGATGTGAAGTCATAAAGAAATTTCCTCATATCAAAACCGGAGAGTGGAAATCAGCTTTTTTGTCCTTTTTCAATAATGAATTTCATTTTATACGTTTCAATGTATGTAGCTATCTGATATTTTTTATTGATATAACTTCAGAATGAAAATAAATTGGCTGCTACTTACCTACTGCTTGATCTTCAAAATTATAACCTTTTTTTAATTGGTTTGTAATTATCTATATACCAGCTTTTACCCGCGATTTTGTCTGAGTAACTGGTATGTGTTTAAAGAGTATGCCCTTCTTCATCCCATATTGTACGTATATTAAATTTCATAGTGATTGGTCAAGCCGTTAAGCCACTATAAGGTAATATATATATATATATATATATATATATATATATATATATATATATATATATTATAATATATATATATATATATATTATAAAACTCAAAGATTTTAAAATTGTTTTACTTAGAAAATTCTATCTACCCGTGCGAAGCCGGATCGCATCATTAGTTTCTCATAAAGGTATTTTAAAAAGAAAAAGGTTTAAGACTTAAAAGTATTTTTTGTAGGAATATTACCTTTGCCAATTCAAAGATATCCCGTGGGGACAATTACTTATATGATTTTTTAACCAGGACCAAGACGTTTGGTGCGTTTCCGGTATTCGGCAACCTTGAATTTTTCCCTGTAGAACCTTAAGCTACAGAAGACTGTATTTTCTGTTCCGCATTATATGTTCCATGTATAGCAACTTACGGCGTTTTATAATGTTTATTTTTTCTGTCTTTTTTAGTATTATTACTTATATATTTTTTATTTTTCTAATTGAACTTAAAATCATTAAACTAAATTTCTAATATAAGTAGTATATTAATTTATTTAAACATTTATTATATAGGTAGGTAGGTATTATATTTATTTATAGTGTATGTATTTATGTAATATTTTATTATATATTTTAATAATTTATTTAACTGTATATTCGTTTATGTATTAATAGTTTTAGCACTTTAGCTGCCTGCTAACGATATGCTTTCTCACTGTATTGGGTTGACTGGAAGAGATCTCTGTCAGAGATAATGATAAGTAATAAGTCCACCCTTGCTCATAATATAACATGACATAAATAAATAAAGTAAATAAATGATTAGTTTGTTTTGTCACAATTGGTGTATATTATTATGATCGCTGAATTTGGTACAATCGGTGTATATTATTTGATCGGTGAATAATCATCGATGATGTCATGATTGGTGTGTTTTTATATTCATAATTGTTTCTACGGTGAAGAATTCACTTTTAATTACACTTATATTATTAAAAAATCGTAATAATAGAAAACACTTGACAAGTGTATATTAATAATGAAGAAAGTTATCTGTTTAACTGCCCATATGTCAGCGAGCAAGTACTATACGTGACCGGTCTAAGTTTAATAGCTTATAGCCGTAATAAAAAGGCAATGTTTCCTTTTAATCAAAAGCCTGATTAAATATATAGCGGTTGTAAACATCCCCTGACCTATACGATTATGTTTCGTTACATTTAACACTTAGTGGAAAATGCTGACATTGCTTAAACATTTTTTAATTATTAATTATTTTATTTATGTAATTCAGTATTTGAATAAGAGAAGCTTATGTTATTGGTAATGTTAATAATAAAATAATTTTCGATAGTCATTAAATCAAGTAATAAATGATACGTAAATTGCATTAAACATTTAAACATAACATTTAAAAACAACTTAATTCATTATTGATTTAATTTTATTGAGCTAAAGTAAAAACTTTACTTTTACTCAATAAAGTTTTTTTATGTCCTTTAACGACTTGGAATAATTTAATGACCGTAAAACTTAATTGTTGATTTATTTACTCAGTTGCTTATTTTTTTATTGTTTCTTTTAAGTGCTGAATGGCTAATTTTGGTAAAATTTCAGTGATTCATTACTAGATGTATTCCACGGCTTCACCCGCGTCATTCGGTATATAAGGTATCTTATGTGCTAAATTAAGACATAACCTCCCCTTATAATATATAAAAGTATCTATCTATTCCTCCATCTATCATTACAAAATTTCGCATTTATTAAAACTTTCGCATTTATTACTATTTATTACTTTTTCTTCTTTCTTTTCTTTTATCTTTGGTTTGGTTTGGTGGTTTCTTCAGGGCTGGCAACGAACGCGTAATGCCCCAAGTATTGCAGACGTTCATAGGCTACGGTACCATTAGCTGAGCTGTAATTTCATTTTTCACCTTAGTGGTATAAAAAAAATTAATAGGATTATGTCGACAAGCTGTTTGAAATTCAAAAATCGCTTACTTAAATAATTTACACAAATTACATAAATTAAATGATTATTTTCAAACACACACTCGTATTTGTTTTTATATATGTAATAGATGAAGTTAATGTCTTTATGACACTATAAACGAGGAAGTAATGAAAAGTAAAAAGCACGCAATCCTTTATCTAGGCACAAGCGAAACTGTTTATAGGGGGTGATCTCCTAAAATTAAAGCTTTCATTGCACCATAAACTTAGTAGCTCGTGAAAATAACAGTGGGGTATGAGGGGTACGAATCTTGAGGATTTTTGGTTTCAAAAGTTGTATGGTTTGTACAGATGAGAGACTTTATGTTCGCTAATAGAATTTTACATTAATTGCCTCGTTTTGCCACGACTAAGTTCGACATAGGCAATTGTTGACGTAAATTTTAGAGAAGTCATAATATTTTTTTTTATACAACTTAGAATGGAAAACAAGCTGACGGCCCATCTGATGGAAAGTGGTAACCATCGCCTATAGACATGAGCAGTACCATGGTCATAACAGAGTATACTGTTTCGCCCATGATACCCCCATGCGTTGCCATTCCTGAGGACTCAGGTATTATTCCTCTGTATCCTGTAAATTCACGCCATATCCCACCCTTCAAATCGAAACACAGCCATGCAAACATAACTGCCTCACGGTAGAAACTATAGTCGCCATATAGCGTCATCTCTAGCATTAATTTACGGTGCAGGTACAACGTATCTACCTTGGGGGAAAGGGATTGTTAGCGATGGGTTCTAACAGTCCCATTGCTAGCAATGTTACTAATCAGGTCGACCTCCACGTGGTTCCCTCTGGGAACCATCGTGATTATTTCTCTTGGAAATCCTTATAATGGGCTAACTGACCTGCTTTCTTCCTCATCTATCATCTCTCACTGGTGCATCGCCAGCGTATACCATTAGGGCAGACGGAGTTACCATTTCATTATCACCCATTTAAAAAAAAAATTCTACCTTGTTTCTTCTAAATTAATATTATGTGCAGGAAAGATATATTTTGATATTTGTAATAGATAGAATTAAAAAAAAAGTGTTAAAGCAATTTATAAAAATACCTATTTTATTTAAAAAAAATAAAAATTTCCCGCCTATCCACCCGCACGAAGCCGGGGCGAGTTGATAGTTAATTAAAATATCACTGACATAAAGGAAAATTGTACCGATAAAACGTCCATCAACTTACAAGTTCAGAATTAAATTTTACTAAACTGCTTTTTAGTCCAGGATAAAGTGCATTTGTGCATCAAATGATATTTATTCTATTACCTTAATTCAGGTGTTTCGAACACCAGTAAATTCATAACTAATGCAAAAGTTTCCGTTGCATAAATTAGAATTTTTCAAACCAATTAAAGCAATGGTTCTGAACTATTAGCTCTAATTTAAAGGAAAACTACACTTTTCAACCAAAAAATATCTTATTCCTTATACTATAAAACTGAAATTTAGTTGTATGGAGTCTTTTAAGAAAATTACTAACTGGCAAAATAATATTGCCTAATTGCATAGACAAGTAATGGGTATGAAACGGCATACAGCCCGTTAACAGAACTAAGGCGTCGAAAGATTAATTAAGTTGATTGAATAATTTCTAAAGCCATTTCCAATTAGGTACAGTTAGAATAATAAATACGAAAAATATTTTTCTTTTTTGTTAACAAATTCGGTTACGGTAGTGAATTTACAGGGCACAGTCCTATGGTATGTCGATGATATTGCTCGTGTCATAGACGACGGTTACCCTTTTCCATCAGGAGAGCCGTCAGCTTGTTTGCCATTCTTAGTTGAACAAAAAAAATTTAAAAGAAAATAAACTATGGGCTCTTTGTCATAAACATAAAAATATGATTACATAAAAACGTTTTCGGATCATTTTAGAATTTTTGTGTTGTAAAATATTGCTTTACCTTAATATTTTGATTTACTACGATACTTAAAAAAAAAACCCAGTTTTAAAATCGCCAATAGCAGTAGAGATTTACAATTTCAATCTGTTGGCTTTCGCCTCTAAGACACAAACTATTGTCTAGTTCAGAGGTAAGTGTCGTAATTGGAACTAAACAAAATTATTTCTAACGTTGTACCTAATTAATGTATTTTGGTATAGTTACAACAATAAATAAATAAGTAAAGTTTTTGATAGATTGCTTGACGACCTATTTACTATCTAGTTATTACAATCTCGATAGCTAAATTACCTGTTTTGATACTAAAAATTACTTTTAATAGTACAGAACCTTATCTTCATTTCATTGGACAATATATCACAGAAGTATAAAAATTAAATAAACAAATTTATTTTCTTGCATTACCATTTTTTCTTCAATTGTACGTACTAGGTAATAAACTATTTCTACTAATTCTACAGTATCATTCCTTTGCCTTTTTTCAATCAGAACAGTCGTTTTCAAAATGAAACCGTTTTCAAAATTTACATTTATTGATAAAATTAAAACAGTCGGTGATAAAAATGAAGTAGATAAAACAATGCATGTAATTTTGATAGTCCAACAAATTTTCGGTTTACAAATATTAGATCCAAAATGGACGTGGAAAACATCCGGCCTAAAACATTTTATGACTGCATGCTTGACCGTTTATGTATTATACGGGACATATGATGCAGTGGAAAAAGTTGCAGACGTGGAATTGATTGCTGAAGCTTGTTTTACTTTTATATTAATAAGTGCACGCATATTTAAAGCCTGTTTATTTGCTAACAAGAAATACACTTTTAGAAAATTATATCTATTATCGAAGACATCTATTTTGGATATATTAAAAACAGAATCTGAAAATACAGATGGAAGTTTACAAGTACTTAAAAAAGGCCAAAGAGCTGTTTTTATATTTTTTCTAGTTATTGTTATACCTTTTTCTTCATATGTGTTCACAGCTCTGTGGTCTTATATTAAAGGGAATAGAACTCCCGTATCTAAAACGACTTCGATTCTTATGCCATTATCAACACCATATTTTGAAATTGGATGTATATTACATATGATTTCTATGTTTCAAATAGGTTTTATAATACTTGTAGTCGATTTGTGGTTTGTTTTCCTGATGTTATTTTATTGTATGGCATCTGATAATATTATTAAAATATTGAAAGTGGAAAAAAGAGGTTTAGAAGAAGATAAGAAACAATACGCTGATCGATTGAATAGAAGCTTGAAAAATTTTTATGAAGCCCATGTAAAAATAAACGAGTACGTATTGAAAATAGTAGTTTTACCTTAATAAAGTTAGTAATGAATTTTTAATATAAGAATAACTAGATTGACTTATAAACGTATTTATTATTTTTACCTTTAATTATGTGTACTTAAGAAGCAGAAGGGAGAAAGACTTTGTACAAAAGTCGATTGCTTGGGTACCTCTGTCCCATTCGTGTTTTTACCGTAAAGCAGTTGTGTTTGCATGGCTGTGTTTCGGTTTGAAAGATGGGATATGGTGTGAATTTACAGGGTACAGAGGAATAACACCTGAGTACTCAGGAATGACAACGCATGGGGGGTATCATGGACAAAACAGTATACTTCATTACGTCCATAGTACTGCTCATGTCTATAGGCGACGGTTACCACTTTCCATCAGGCGGGCCGTCAGCTTGTTTGCCTTTCTAAGTTGTATAAAAAAAAAAGCTTTTAATAATTAATTTTATTAACATCTATTATTATGACTGTCCTTTTATGATCATGTTGTCTGTTCGGTTTCACAAGAAACTCCTTCGATATTTTGCTGTTCTTGTTATTAAATTAATTTTATTACTTCCTATACGGGTTCGAGCTTTCAATAGATATGATTTCTACTGATTTTATCAAAGCTTTTGAACATTGTATTTTTCTTCAAAAGATTTCCTCCGGAGAATTTTATGGGAATTTGTATTGATATTTCCCTTATTAAGAATAGGAAGAAATAATGATTTAATATAAATAATTATTTCTTACAAAACCATAGCTATGAATAACATCAACTTATTTCTGGCGTACCACAGGGCTCGTTGCTAGCTCCTTTATTTCAGTTTAAAATTTGTTCATTTATTATAGTTGTTACAACCAAAAAGTGATAGTTACTTCTTTACAGTGATCTTTATAGTTTTTGAAACAATATTATTATAGTGTATTTATATGTAGCAAAAAATATGTTTCAGATATTTAAATACAATGAGTGAGATGTTTCGGTGGCTAGCCGCTATTCCACTTTATATGGTTACAATCTGCACTTGCCTTATTTTACTACTAATGAGCAAGGTAAGGATTTTTTATACATAAAAAGTCTATATTAATTTTATTTTTAACGTAATCTCTTTGCGTCGATTCAAATTCTTAATTATAAAGAAAGTGACAAAATATTATAGATTTTAAAATAAATTTTGAAGGGAATTTAATAATAATGTTAGTTTTTAGCCGAGAATTCAAGAGCCTACTCGACGGAAAGTTCATATAAAATTCTTTTTGGGTACCTATGTTCCACTTGTGTCTCTGCTGTGCTCGCATAACTGTATTTCATTATGGTAGTGAAATGACATGGTACGGAAACATAATACCATGAATGATATTATGGGCGTTACTGTATATTCTATAATGTCGGTTACGCTATTCGTATCTATAGGGATGGTCACTACGTTCTATTAGGTGGACCATCAGTTTTTTACAATCGTAACTCAAAAAAATAAATCTATTACATACCTAGTAGTGGATTATTAAGGCTAGTTCCACTTGCTCCTTCCAATATTTCCCTACTGGGGGTAAGGTTAAGATAACATGAATGTCCAAAGAAATATATAAATGGATTTGACACGTAGGAAAATCTATAAAACACACCACTTTTCAAGAATTAGTCACTATCAAGTATCAAGATAATACATACACTGGAGTTTAAGTTAGACCTTAAGGAACACAGCTGTGGAAACTGCATCCAATTTGGTTTAACAATTTTACGTGATATCGGAACAAACATACAGATAGATAGACAGACAAATTTTCTAAAAAAATATTTTTATTTGTCATTTATACTTATTTATACGAATGTTTCACAAATAAGAAATCTTAAATTTGACTCTATTGATCTTATTATCTTTTATTTTACTATTGTTTTTAAAATCTCCCTTAAAATTTCTTAAAAAAACTCCCATATGCAGACATGGTTTAGATACAATTTTAATTCACTAGCAAGAAGCGATGTTTTTTTCGACTTCCTATATCGTATGTGGAAATCGCCGAAGTTTCCTAATTGTTTACTGCCATGGCAATAGCATGGAAATTGCCAATAATCCGATTATCAACCGTGAAGAAGAAGAACCTTCTTTTCTTTATTTTATAACTAGTCTTTACTTGCAACTTCGTCCGCATAACCAGAATATGTTTATTAATTGAGATAAAAATTAGCCTGTGTCCTTCTCTATCTATTTATATCTATTTATCTATATTAAATATCTATTTTAAAAGGCCGCCAGCACACCTGCAGTGCCGTGGGTGTTGTGGGTGACCATAGGCGGCGGTAGTCGCTTGCCATCAGGTGAGCTGCATGCTCGATTGCCCCCTGTGTTGTAAAAAAAAATCTATTTATTATATATGATGATGATGATGAAATAAATAAATAAGTAAATATACCTACTGAAAAAACAAACTGTACAATTGGTAAGTAATTCAAGTGCAGCCTGCCTTTGTGGACCGATTTTGTGAGAAGGGAAACTTTTTAAAAACGTGATAGAAAACTTTTTGAAGCGTGATTCAGATACTTAATCTGATGCAAAAGGATTCTTATATAAAAACTTATACAAGTTCACAACTCAATTGAATTTTATTTTAAGAAAATCAACTGGGCCTTCACTTCCACCACGATTCCGTTGTTTGCTGAGATATTTGTGTTTAATTGGTTTGGGGAACAAGTCAAATCTAAGGTAAGCTTTGCTAATATTGAGATTTACGTATATATTTGTTCGCTGTGTGTGCTCCGGCATAGAATGGGCCACTCCTTACTTTCCCGTGAGTGTCGTAAGAGCAACTAAGGGAGGGCGAGGGATGAGCAGCGTCCCTCTTAAAACATATCTAAAAGCTAACTGCGGTCGCCAACCCGCCTGCCAAGCGCGGCCTACTGGCAAAACTTCCTTTATAGGGAACGCTTATGTCCAGCAGTGGACAGTTAATGACTGAAATAATAATAATAATATATTGATTTTATGTAGGATTAATTTTTGCCATATTGATGATGCCGTGTAGGATTGATATGGAAAATGCCACAACTTCCGTTCCCTTTGGTGTTATAAGAGGCGACTACGGGAACTTAATGGTTGAGGATGTGGAGCAGCATCCCTCTTAAAACATCACCAAATCCTAAGTGCGGTTGCCAAAATGCCTGCCAAGCATGGCAGTTTCTAGCAACCCCTCTTCCCCTTTTGGGAGAGGCCTACGTTCAGCAGTGGAGAGTAGATGGCTGGTATGATGATTTTGATACTGATTTATTTATTATTTGTTGATACTAGTTTATTGCAAATAAATTTAAAAACCACTTTTTTGCATTTAAGAAAGCTAAATTATTAACGAGAATTATTTAATATATTTCTCGTTAATATATTAAGTTTTTAAAATAAAATCGAACGAAGTCAGGACGGATTCATAGTCATTAATACTCTTCTGATTCCAGGCCTATAAGCTTAAATTGTTACTTTTACACTTTGACTGGTTAAGCCTGCAATATAAAGACAGAAAGTCCTACCACATAATCGTATGTTATATGAATAAAAACTTTGGAATTAAAACAGCGTTCGGGAATGAACTGTCGTTTATAACGATGACTTCTGTAAGTAAAATTACAGTTTTAAAATAGTTTTTATTGCTATTAAAATAAGGCTAATTTTGTAATATAATATCTTTTTACTAGTTGTATTCTACGTCTTTATCTACGTAAATCAGTATATAAAGTTACTATATGCTAAGTTAGGATATACTCTACCAGTAGTACTTCAGTAGTTTTTGCGTAAAAGACCAACAAACATCTATCCATCCATTTTTGAAAATTTTTGCATTTATAATGTTAATAGGATATTAAATGGACATAGGTAATCGATTTTTATTAATTTCTGAAAAAAAAAAGATTTCAAATACTATTGTATTTTTTGAGTGTTGTTCTCGTCAGTTTTACGGATTCACCCCTCCATTGTACAACGATCTCCTATTATCACTCCGTCCACGCACGTTTTGCGATACGTGTTTCACATGTATCGAGGCATTTTTAGCCAAATTAATAGATTGCTAATTGGAGCCTAGTGTTAACTATTCGGCGCCCAAACTGTAAATGACATCGAGTTATTGCATGGTTGAGGAATTTCTGGTGGTAATAGTGGTGGTCAATCCTCGAGTGTTGGCGGTCACATACATACTAATGGTACCAGAATTAAACAAAGTTCTAATTAAATATTAAAATGACAAAGCTTTAGAACCAGGCAATTAACCATAGGGAGACTTTGTACAAAAGTCGATTGCTTGTGTTTCTACCGTAAAGCAGTTGTGTTTGCATGGCTGTGTTTCGGTTTGAAGGGTGGGATATGGCGTGAATTTACAGGGTACACAGGAATAACACCTGAGTCCTCGGGAATGGCAACGCATGGGGAGTATCATGGACGAAACAGTATACTCTGTTAAGTCCATGGTACTGCTCATGTCTATAGGCGACAGTTACCACTTTTTATCAGGTGGGCCGTCAGCTTGTTTGCCATTCTAAGTTGTTATAATTTTTTTTTTATAAATTAGTATGGTTGTCTGGTATTTACTACTGTTATTACTATGTATGTTAGTTAAATCCTAATTTTGTCATGATTGAAGATTTTTGTTTTAAATGAAATAATGAAGTCGCGTAGAAAAAACCGCGTAACTGTGTGTTGATCTTAACAGATAATACGCAAGTAACGTTAGTAATTAGTAACAAGGAAAAGTATTTCCGATTATTGTTTTGAACTTGTTTTCTTGCCATTACTTTCAGGTTCTTAAGGCGAGCTATCAAGCTTTTACTGTTTTGCAGACTCTAGATGATTAAACGAAAGAAAAACTAATTAATAAGGAAAACTTGTATGGAGGCCATTTAAAACAAAATGGATAAAGGATCCGAGTACGATTTAGTTTGTTTTTAATATTTGTCAGCAAGTTTTTTTTTAATGGGTGTAAATGATATGGTAACCCCGCCTGCGCTAACGGGATATGCTGGCGGAGCACCAGTGAAGGGTGATAGATGAGAATGAAAACAGGCCAGTTAGCCCATCATGATGAATTCATCAGGATTTAACCATGATAGTTTCCAGGGGGAACCGCGAGGAGGTCGACCTGGTTGGGTATATTGCTAGCAATGGGATTCTTAGTCTCTATTAATAACAATCCCTTTCCCCCTGTCAGCAAGTTTAGGAATCTACATTTATCATGAAGTGTTATGGGTACTTTTATAGGAATTTTATTATATACAGGGTGTAATGGACAGGTTTGGTTAAAACTAAAATAGTGAACTCAGACCATTATTCTGTACTGAAAATCAGTGGAAATTCTTTTCGAAAAATTTTAATTCTTTCTCCCATTTTTTCATATGAAATCATGTAATCTATAACATTATACCATATTGTAAAGAAATAGTAATATTTTATAGTATAATATTATGAAATATAAAAAAAAATAGCAATGTAATACACGTATTAAAATCCTATCGCGACGCACGGAATCAGGTATGAAAAGTCAACGGTTTAAGCGTACCAAAACTACCTACGAAGATGCGCTTTTGAACGCGCCTTGTAGGTATCACGCGTCGTATGGATTATAAAATTTCAAATACATTGCACGGTGTCAAAATTAAGAATCGTTAATTTATTGAATGTGGTGCATTTCCGATAGGAAAATAATCCGCCATCTGATCTAGATTATTTGTCTGAACCAGCTGTTTTCATTTTGGCCAACTTGCCCCTTCCACCCTATATATATTAATTCGACCATGCCTAATTGTATGTGGCAATTTAGCATATGCAAGTAATACTTTGATTTTTATACAAAAAAAAATCATGTCGGTTTTCCGATACGAAATTAAGTTGGAGTGTAAGTAACTTTTATTTAAAGCAAAATATGTGTTTAGGTACATTAAAATTATATGCAGTTGTAACTTTTAGATCTGTACTTGTATCTTAATGTGTGTAATTGTATCTTTTATACATATGTAGAAAGTGTTCTAAAGCAGACTAAACATTGTTTTTTAGTTTAATACAACAACTCACGAATTAAAACAATATTACATTAGTTACACTTTGAACACAAATCACTAGAAATCGTAGTATAGAAATTTCTGTTCACATCAGAAACAACTTTTATATAGTTTTTATTTCAATGATAATAGAATATGTATTACCTTGAACTCTTTTATTTATTTATAATACGTGGGAATAAATTATTTCTAGCTTTGTTGCATTGGACTTTATTCGTTCATGTATTTCGTCAGAATGATTTTTAGAATGTAACACAAAATAGTTTTTATTATTTTTATAACCCTCATTTCTTTTTAAGGTCAAAAAGCCTTTAAATATTACAGAGGTCAAATTGAAAACTAAATTATATAAAATATATTTTATATTTTAGACAATAACAAATTTTAGATCTCTATAATTTTTATAATTTCATAATTGAGATTAACAGATTAGAATTGTTTCTTCGAAATAATTATTTATAGAGCGTCCAGTATTAAGTAGTCTACTAATTATCATGTTGCTATAAGAAATAAAAAAAAATGGGTATTTATTTTTATTTCTTTCAGTATTATTTTTTCCCTGTAAATTTAAATATTGTTTCGTTAATGTATTTATTAAGATGATTCTTGTTATTCGTTTATTTTTATTTAAGCATAAGTATTGTAGACTTACAGCGTGGTCTCGGTATAGAATAGGCCACACCTTCCTTTCCCGTGGACATTGTAAGAGGCCACTAAGGGAGATCAAAGGATGGGCATTAGCGTCTCTCTTAAAATATCTCCAAAGCCTAACTGTGGTTCCTAATCCGCTTGTCAAGCATGGCAACTATTAGCAAAATGAAGAAAGAGCACATAAGCTTTTTCCCAAGGAAGAGACTTAGATATGTTAAGCAGTGGGCAGTTAAAGACTGATATGATGATGATGGTAGACTTACTATAGACTTAATATATTATTTTACAAATAATTTAATTTAAAATATGCGGTATTTTTTGTAAAAATACATTGTATCTAAATATTCATTAGGTTGATGTTAATTTATATTAAGTCTAGCGTCTCTAATTTAATTAATAAATTGTTAAATTCAGTAGACTTAAGAAAAAGAAGAGAGAAAAAAAATTTGAACTTAATGAACCGTTGGCGTTCAAAGAAACAAATTCCGATTATTATAATTAAATATTTGTCAAGTCCGCCAAAATGTTTGTCCTGTGAAATTAAAATGAAAATAACGGAAAACGAGAAACATTAAAAGGGGCCTCGTAAATTCATTCTATTTTTCATTCGGGAACCGTTTTCGCCAAATATCAGATAACATTTGCGCGCTCCGATTGAAAAGAAAGAGATGTTTAATACTGGAATTGGACATTGAAAAAGGTAGGATATATCAGCGAGGCGGATCTGAGCAAATTTCGGTGTTCTTCACAAATTTTGTCGTCGTTTCAGGACAGTCCGATCTCGAGATAGTGTCACGGGAATCAGAGGCCACTGAATGAGTTATGGGGTTGTGAAGGCGGATGGAAAGTTAAGCGGTCGGATGATGTATGGTTTTTCACATGCCTCCATACTTGTTCACTTTGTTTGGGAAAGTTTTATCAGAAATGATCCGTTTGAGATTGACGATACGACGGATTGGTTTCGAGATAATTTATTTGATGCCGAATTTGGAATGAAAATTCCAGTATTGTTAAATTAGCGTTGGAGTGTTAAATTTAATCATTTAATATAATAAAAGGATATACCTTAAATTTTAATTAAATACCATTTTTCTTTTGTGGGAAGCTAAAACATTTTTAAAAATATATTCTTAATATATAATAATATAATAAAATAACGCTGTTCGTTTTGAGTTCCGAGATTCGATTTTAATCCAGGTGTCAGTTTTATGTTTTTAATTCGATATGACTCTTTTACTTTTACCCAACTACAAATTTGTGTTTAAAACTAAAATGTTTACCCAAAATTGCAATGAAGATATTCAATTTGGCAACGCTTGCATTGTGGTTAACAATTAGACGTAGATTATAGGAAAGGCGTAAATTGTCCCGGTTAATATTTATTTATTTAAATTTTAATGCACAACGTGACTATATGTACATTTCGTGGACTTAACATTGGATGGTGTTCTATATTAGTTACCCACTGGGCAGTAGTTGCATTTAAAATACAACTTAGAATGGCAAAGAAGCTGATGGCCCACCTGATGGAAAATGGTAATTGTCGCCTATAGACAAGAGCAGTACTATGGACATAACAGAGTATACTGTTTCGCTCATGATACCCCCTATGCGTTATTCCTCTGTACCTTGTAAATTAACATATTTTTTATACATTTATTTTTCTTTTTTTTAGATATAAAGTAAGTTGGTCTAGTTGCTTGTGAGTTACTAATTGGCATAAATTTGGTATAAGAATAGTATTCAGGATGGAAAAAACATTTTGTAACGTATTTATGTCATATTATAGTCTTGAATCCTTTAAACTCCGGTATTACTATACCGGCCGATAAGGCCCATTATTGTTTTCTCATTGTGATTATTTCTTCTACTCGTAATTGTTTTGTATGTATAATGCGTTTATTATTATAATCTTTTGGAAGAAACAATAAAGAGTATCTATCTATCTATTATTTACCTGCAATTTTCTTCGCATTGTGTCATCGATAGTATACGATTATTTTAAATAAAGGCTGCTTCATTAAATTCTAGCCAATCAATGTATCCAGTAAAATAAAAATAAATTACAAACCACAAAATTTTTCATTTTCGTGAGGAAATATTTTACAACCTTCCTACCTAATCCTATATTAAGCATAGATAAAAGTAATTGCTACTGAATTCCGGTGGTTTTAATATCTGTGGCTGACGTTACTTTTCCTGCTTCTCGATTAAGAATGAACGAAGTATTGTCACAATAATAAATCCTTATTGACAAATACAAGAGCAAGTATCATTTTGCTCTGTGACTCTCGAAAAAAAGACCAGTGCCTTCAAGAGACAGTCCCTTCCATAATAAAAGTTCACTGAATTCGTAAACGCAGATTTAATATCGACGAAATTAAAGAGGAGAAATTTTGTCATGTAAAAAATGACAATGAATATTATGAACATTTCTATTTTTAATCTGAAACCGAATAAAATGGAAGCGGGCATAATTTGAAATTGCAAACTATGGTTTGAAGCTTACTAACCCACCTGATGGAAAGTGGTAACCTAAACCTATAGATATTAATAGTACTATGTGTATAACAGAGTATACTGTGTCGTCCATGATATCCTTCATGCGTTGCTAATTCTAATAAGGTGTTACACCTCTGTACTCCGTAATCCCACTGCAACATCCCACCCTTTAAACTGAATAACAGTCGTGCAAAAACTGCTTCACGGCTAAAATATGAGTAGAACAAAGGTACCCAAGTAGACGACTTTTGCACAAAGTCTTCCTCTGGTTTATCTCTCTGATTATATAACTTGAAGCTAATGAATTTCGTTTAAAACATATTAAATTTGACAGTTCTGTGATTAGGGCAACCCTAATCACCCCAAATAGGGATGTATATATCATATGACAGTTTCAATTATAAACTGAATATAACCGATTGTAATTTATCAGTGTGTTTACTAATGAAAACGAACAATTTCCTCTCAGATGTATGGATCGAACATGAAAAAAATTATGCGGCCAGGGATCAAGTTATCACAGGAGGTTTTTTTATGGTTTTCACTTTGTAATGATATTTTTGTAAGCATTAAAATACTAATAATATTAATCTGTATTCATTCAATTAAATAAATACTACAGCCTAAATGGTCGCATACTGCGCGGTTTCAGAGATGTTTCCTCCCACGAACACTCAGATTATGGAAGCAACTCCCTGCCGTGGTTTTCCCAAGAGACTACAGCTTGGGGTTCTTTAAAAGGAGGGTAAAGAGTTTTCTTCAGGGTCGGCAACGCGCGCGTAATACCTCTGGTATTGCAGGTGTTCATGGGCTACGGTAACCATTGACCATCAGATAGGCCGTATGCTTGTTTGCCATCTCAGTGGTATAAAAAAATTATAATAAATAATTCATTCGTTCAAATTTTAAATATCTATATTTTAGTATATTATAGTTAGTTAAGGTCGTGTAGAGTGCGGTTTCAGAAAAAGTCGTGAACGCTTAGGCTGTGAAAAAAAGCTCTCTGCCGACATTTCTCTTAGAGATTACAGTACGGGTTTCTTTGAAATAGACGTATGAAGGTTTTTTCGGTTTCTGCAATACACACATGACGTCCCTGATATCGCAGATGTCTATAGGCTACAGTGAGCGTTTATCATCAGACGGGCTGTATGCTTGTTTGCCACCAACGTGGTATAAAAAAAGTAAATATAAAATTATATATTATTTTTAGATATTCACATCATTGTTATTGCATTCACACTAAAAGTTAATGATAGCATACAAATTAATGGTAGCAAATTTAGAGAAAAATATTTAAAGGTTACTGTTGAACCAATTTGGATGAAACACAACAGAGCTAATAATGTGAAAGCCAAGGATGGATAATGCAGAGTACATTAAAGTAACAAATAACAAACCACCTGTACACTGTACACTGTTCTGATATTAAACGCGTCACCCGGTTTTAACTGGTATAATCCAGATCACGGCAATTCGAACAGAACCGAGAAATACTTTACGACCGTTGCCACTCGGTGCATTTACTGCGACTTTAAAATTCTCACCGTTCGAACGCTGCTCCAACGATAAAAGCAACTAAATGTTTTCGACTCTAATTTGTAGGTACATTTTTTATTTTCGGAGAAAAAAAATATTCATAACAAATACACATACAATAAATGTAGAAAGAAATATTCAGTAAAGGAATTAAAATAAAAATATATACAAAACAAATAAATATTTCGCCTTTATACGAGCAATTTTTGTATTGTATAGGATTACTATTCTCACTTCTATGAAATGGTAACCCCGCCCGCGCTAACGGTATATGCCAGAATGTACCATTAGCGCGGGTGGGAGTACAGGAGTAAAGGTTCTGAACAGCACCGCGGTTTATTTTTGGTTAATTTATCACAATAGATCAATCGACCTGCTTCTTTCTCACCTAACATAAGTGGTGTGGGGGGAAAGGGATTGTACAAAAGTCGATTGCATGGATACCTCTGTCCCATTCGTGTTTCAACCGTGAAACAGTTGTATTTGCATGGCTATGTTTCGGTTTGAAGGGTAGGATATGGCGTGAATTTACTGGGTACACAGGAATAACATCAGTCCTCAGGAATGGCAACGCATG